GATAGATAGATCTTATCATATAAAACTAAATCAGAATTTTCTGTCAAAATTAACACTGTGTTGTCTGCGTTGACCTGTCTGTCACCTTATGGCAGCTGGGATAGGCTGGAGAAGTGGAAGAAACTGAATTTTTGTTTTCTTTTATTTAAGTCTTTCCCTCAAATTTGCAGCAGACAGTTACAACATTAAATTAAAGCTCAGTTTAGCACTAAAGCACTACCAATGCTGTACCACACTGGAACCATATTATTTTTTCCAATTAGGAATTTTGTGCAGCTGCTTTTTAGTATTTAAAAGGACTGCGTTCATGGTCATATTATCTGACTGGAATCCACTGGCCTGTATAGTACTTTTAACCAGGTTCTCACAAAGGACAGTATAGCGCTAGAGGGGGGAAAGAAAAGAAACTTCTGCCACTTCATCACTTCAACAAATGACCTTAACCTAGCAATGAAAAACTTGAAGACACGGGTCACTTTAAGCGGTGGAAGAAACGATCAAAGCCGTCGTACTTCTGTTAGGGATACTTTCTTTCATTGTCTCTTAGTGGATACTGTCATATTGCCTCCAGTGATCCTTACATGAATTCACTGGTAAAGGCAATTAATAAATGATCAAGTATATTATACCCAAGTATAACTATGGAAGTCTAGTATCAATCAGTTCTCATTAGTGCGTTTTCAAAGAATTCAGCCAGTTCCTGATTGTTTCAAGCTAAGGCAATGACTGAAGGCTGTCTGTCCTGCCCTGACAGAACCTTAATATTAATGTTCCTCTCGCTCAGCCCCATTTTCTTTTTAATCCTGTCTGGCTTTTTGAAGATAACTGCACCTTAAAGGGAAACCGAGCGTATCTATCAATTCACATCAAAGGTGGATGTCCGAGACGTTCGAACACCTTGTCCGTCAATAACCGGTAGAAATTCTAACATTTCTGATCATTATTATCTCCTGTGTCTTTGTTCTGTCTGTAAATGTGCCTGGAATGCTTCAAAGGCATGTTAATCAGGCTGTGTGTGGAGATGCCAGGAGACCAATTACACTCGTGAGCTGCACTTCAGCTTTCTCATTTCCCTGAATCCTGCTGCTCAAACATGGTTATAGCCCAGATTTCCGTTCAGTTCCGATGAAATAGTTGACCTTGACAAATAGCAGAATGCAGAGAGGAATTGGTAACTTGGGCACAGCATGGGGTATTTCAGCATCTCTGCAGCTTCCGTGTAAAGCAGCAGTATCCGTCGTGCATGAGCTACATTGGTTTGTATTTTTATGAGCAGAAGTGCGAACAGCTTTGTTGCTCAAGGCTCGTGTGAATGCAGCGGCAGATTGAATTTGCCGAACAGGCAGTCGGAGGCTCATATTTTCACTGATTTAACCTGGACCTGATCATGCTTAATGGCTCACTTCAAGGTCTAGATACACGATTCTGCCTCCAACTTTGAATGGGCAACATTTTTCACGGAAACTCGAGGTCGCCTTAATCGTCAGGTACCAAGATCGCTGAGTCAAAAAACTCTAAAGCCTTCCTTTAGAGTTGTACTTTCTGGAGAACAGATGCTGGTCGTACAGAGCTCCCCGTCCCTCCAGCTGTTTTTTTCATTTCGCTGTAGGGTGGACTGAAGAACAGGAAAATCTGTCACCAGTGGAAGCTGCATCCCAGTTGGCCTAAGGAGGCCCTAATCATCGGCCGTCCATCCATCTGCCACCAGACTGATATGCCCCCAGATGTCGTGAAAGGCCCCGGCGTGCCCGCGCACCCGCCAGCCAGCGAGGGCCTGTCTTTGCTCGGCTGGCATCGCGTTCTGTTCACACCAGGACAAACTTGATTTGACCAGAGGGAGGCTCTTATGATTGATGATTCCACCACATATCTTCAGCCACAGCAATCTGGCCTGGCTCTACTGCTGTGCTATGCATGCATGTGTGTGTCTGTATGTGTGTGTGTGCAGATCTGTCTGGCTGTGACAGAGAATACGCTTTTTCTACGGGAGGACAAAGAGTTCGGGAGTTTGTGCAGAGGTGTATGTGCATATGGAACAGAGTCGCATGCAGAGGTAGCAGCACCGGTTGTTCGATTGTTGTTTGCCAGGCAACGTTTCCCAAGTATAGTACAAGCTGCAAGCCCACTCTATCCAGAGTTTGTTAAAGAAAGCTCAAAATGTCATCGGTTTGCCTTTACACCCACAGGTTTCCTCAGCTGTGGCAGTAATCAGCACTGAGAAGTGGCGTCCATGCCTCGGTGCCCAAGCCAGAAGCTTTCCACACTGCTTTTCTTCCACTACTTCCTTTTTTTTTTCTTTTTTCCTAAATGTCATCTCTCGTGCTCATCTCCCATTGTGTTCCTCCGGCAAACAACCATCAAGGCACCAATGTTCTTTCACTATTAAGGCCGCATTCCTCTCTTTACGGCGAGGTATATGTTACAACTTAAAAAAAGACGAGCGCCCCATCTGACACACAGACGCCTCACGGAAAAACACTCAAACTCCTAACCGGCGTGTGATTAAATTCAGAGTGAGACAGGGTATCGCATTAGGATGAATGTCTATTCACAACTTTGTTAACTCGCTGATGTAACAGGAGTATCCTGCATATTAATTCAATATGCAGCCTTTCAGAGCAAATATCCGCCCTGATTATTTGTGCCAAAAAAGCACGAGCACCAGTGGGGAGAAAAAAGGGAAATTATATAATATGTCAAAAGAAGCAGGGAATAAAATCATGACAACAAAAAGCCCCAGACGCAGACCACGAAGAGGGACAGCGGTCAAAAGTTGAAACTAACTAACCCGAGGGTGTATGATGGAAAAACGGAGCATAAATTCGGGATGACAAATACGGCAAATTGGCACGCGACCAGCTACGGCTAATATGTTGCTGCAGAGATCTTTTTAGCTTTTTGTGTGTTTTTTGTTAAAGTAAACTCGTGTTGTGCTCTGTGCACCTCTCTTGTTGAAACAGCGCACACACCAAAACCTTAATGACATAAATGGCGTGTAATGATGATGATACGGAGCTGGGAGGGGGTGCAGGGGGGGAATAAATCACTGATGTAATGTTTCCGCTGTAGGTGAAGCCAATGCCAGGGGCTCCATCTACTGTTTGCCGCTGAGAACTTCACACTGTGTCTTCTGACAGTGCTCCGGCTGACTCAGTTCACCCTCCCCACCCTCGCCCTCCCCTTCCAGCAAACAAGGAGGGACAGCTATACTCAGCAGTGAGGCTGAGACAGTATAATTTATGCCTGTGAATTATGGATATACCGAGCAAGTGAAGGCCAATATATGTTTTATACCACGCTTCCCTCCATTTATTTTGGCTGGGGTTATGACTTAATAGCGTGCCGTTCTGTTGATGATGGATATCCTGATTTATCTGCTCGAGTCAGGCAAGGCACTCAATTAAAGCGCTTTGTCAGGACAGACATGCCGAATGTACTGTCACTTGTTGTTTATGACTGACTGACTGTGCTCCTGCAAGTCAGCGTCCACCCGTCCTGCCCCGCTGTGA